TTTATCATCATCACATCTTTATCTTCATCATCTTTATCATCATCATCAACATCATCATCATCTTCATCAGATTCATCTTCACCTTCATCTTCACCATCTTCATCATCATCTTCATCATCATCTTCTTCATCATTATCATCATCTTCATCATCATCATCATCATTATTTTCTTCATCATCTTCACCATCATCATCATCTGCTTCATCATTATCTTCATCATCATCTTCATCATCATCATCATCATCATTATCATCTTCATCATCATCATCTTCAGAGTGTCTTAACGTAAAATTAATCTAACTTCCTCTATTGCCAGCCTCTGATTGGCTCCAGCTTCTCAGGGTCATGGAGGGAAGGCGGGGCATGAACCAATCAAACAAACAAGAAATTAATAGAAGGAATTAAAGAGCCGTGGAGTTGAATGAGTCAATCAATAGTTCTGATTTTGTTTTCTTTTTTTATCTTCAGAAAAATAAAAGGAAAAGAAAAATTGCAAATCAGTGCAAATTTCCTTTCTGCTCCATGCCCCCTGGAGGGGCCCCGACCCCCACTTTGGGACCAGTGGGTCAGAGCCAGCAGACACTCAGATGCAGGTTTTACCTCTTGTTTTCTTCTCGGTTGTTTTTTTCTGCTGAGCCTCAGGAACTGTTTGTGTGATTCAGAGAACCGATGCCTGCACCACGGACCTGAACAAGTCTGGACACAGACGCCCCGGAGTCAGTCTCTGTTCATCTGACTCCCCCACACACACCCACACACACACACACACACACACACTCTTACTCACTATGCTAATGTGGTTCCACCTTGTACACAGTGTGTTGTACTCCCCCCCTCCCCCCCCAGCGCCCCCCCCCAGGCTGTCAGACATGTTTTTCTATCTCACTTCACCTGACAATTGCTGTTTGTGTGTTTTTGTGCAGAACAGACGCTGAGGTTGGTGTTCAACCTGCGGCTCCTCTTGGGTGGAGGCCACACAAGCAGCACAATTAGCAGGTTGTGGTCCGTCATGTGGCGAGCTAACTCCCTCACCTCTGATGGGTGTGGGGGGGGGGGG